CCATGGCTTTGACGGCGAAAGCCCTTGACGAGCAGTATGGCCCGGAGCTGTCGCGGCCTCCCTTGGCCGACTGCGAGAGCCCGTATTATTTGCATCAGGCGCTCGTTGCAAAGGGTATCCAGGTCAGTCAAACGGGCTCTTGCGAGCAACTTTTTCACGTGCTTCGAACTTCTGCAACAACGGTTGCGCGCATGCCAGGGCCATCATCCCTGTCAAATAATACCATATTGGACACATTCGTTTTTTCTTCGCGCGCGCACGCCGTCGTCGTCGGCCGCGGGGCCCTGAATAGTAGCCACGGTCGTCCGCATGCCACGAAGTGAAGTGTCCGAACGTCATAGGGCGGGAAGCTGGGTGTGGGTGGTGGCGAAGAGTCGTATGGAAATTTGGTAGAGCTTGAACCGGCCCCCCCACAAAGTGGGGGTATTGCCCGCCTCCTATGAAAACCCTGGCACTGGTGAGAACGGAGTGTCCCCAGTCTTAAATGATTATTGTTGTTGTTGTTGTTGTTGTTGTTGTTGTCGTCGTCACCCCCCCGCCGCGACCCACCCGCGACCCACCCCGCGACCCACCCCCCGCGACCCACCCCGCGACCCACCCCCGACCCACCCCGCGACCCACCCCGCGACCCACCCCGCGACCCACCCCCCGCGCTCCACCCCACGACCCACCCCTCGACCCACCCCACGACCCACCCCGACGACCCACCCGCGACCCCAAGGGACCCCGCGACCCATCCCGCGGCCCATCCCGCGACCCACCCGCGACCCACCCGCGACCCATCCCGCGACCCATTTGCGACCCACCCGCGACGATCCCGCGACCCACCCGCGACCGATCCACATTGGTTTGAAAAAAAATCGGCGCCTGCGGCGGGCTCGTTTTATAATTTGTGAAACTTTGGCGCCTGCGGCGGGCTTCTCCAGAGTCTCGCAGACTGCCGACGTCCCCACCGCCCTCTCACTCTTATCCGCATCTGCGGGGTGCTATGTATTTTTCGTCCAACATCCGCCTGTAGGGGGCCATGCCCGACCTAATGTTAGCCTGTCGTGCACCCAAAGGTGTAACGTTCGGCGGGGGATCCAGATTTGGACTGAGGAGACACGGAGGAGGAGGAGGAGGAGGAGGAGGAGGAGGAGGAGGAGGAGGAGGAGGAGGAGGAGAGGGGTAAAAAGAGGGGCTCCACTGGGTTCCGTGCGTGTTCGTTTGATGATGGAGGGGGGGAGGGGGCGGAATGGAGGAGGAGGAGGAGGAGGAGGAGGAGGAGGAGGAGGAGGAGGAGGAGGAGGAGTGGGAGTGGCAGGAAGAGGGGGTTCCTTTCAATTCACTCAGTGCTCGTCGGATGATGGGGGGGGCGGAGGATGGGACGAAGAGGGGGGGGCGAGCGGCAGGGGAGGAGGAGGCCTTTCTTCTGTTCAGCGATTATTCGTGGGGTGACTGGGAGGGAATGGGGCGGAGGGGATGAAGATCGCACGGGGGTCAGGACGAGGATAAAACCGTTCTAGAGCTTCGGAACGCTCTCAGAGCGTTCCGGAACGCTCTGAGAAGGCCGCGGCGGCCGAGACGTCCTCCGGAGCCGCCCGATCTCAGAGATTCCGGGAGATTCCCGATTGATCCTCACCCGTTGTTGTCTTCGTCTTGGCTTCGTCTTAGAAGAGGGGAGGCGATAAACCACACAGACACAATGAATCGTCGATCCCCAGGCACACATGTGAAAGTAGGGGAAGTACCCTGATCACCCGTTCTCCAGATTCCGGAAAAACTTCTGCAGGATGCATCTCCGAGGAATTTCCCTGCAATTTCGAGCCCGAGATCTCAAAATTGGCATTTGCATTTTCGAGCCCGCAATTTCCATCGCGATGGAAATTTCGATTGCAATTTCCAGCCCCAGACGTTTGAATTTTCGAGCCTGCAAGATCGAGCGCGGACCCCCGCCCGCGCCTGAAATCTGGGGGGGGGAAGGGGGGGAGGGGCGAGTGGAAAACGGACATACATATATAATATTATATATATGTTCTATATATATATATATATGTATATGTATATGATACATTTATATATATATAAATATATATCTATAATATATATTATCTCGTAAGGGCTTCGCCCCC